TACCTTAAAACCATAATTACACTGTTGTGTAGATAATTGGTAAAAAATTATAATATATTATGTTCATGTTATTCGCGTAGGCATTGTTAATGCATTTAGTTAAAACGCCGTTAATTACATTAAAATACTAATCGATAGAGAACAATGAACCTGTACGGTGGTTTACGCACCACGCTGCGTTTGTATTTATTAAAATATAAAATTATATTATTGTATGATAATATTATGACACGCATATTCAATATTAAGTGTATATATTATGTGCACGATAAACAATTTTAAAATTATTATTATACAATGATGCCTTGCAAGAGCGTTTAATGTCCGGCAAATGGATTATTCGTTTTACAGCCAAACGCATATTATTATTATTATTATTATGATATTTTTGCGGTGGCGACGATAGATCGAAAAAAATAGCATACATACCGGACCAGTGTTTAGTGTATTTCTTATATGTATGTAAGTCCATGGGGCCATTATAACAACAGTAGAACCTTAGCCCGGGACAGATGTTAACGTTCATGCTGGTGCCATGCAGCAGCTGCTGCCGGCAGCATGACCCACACATACACACGTCCGTCCCGGGGTGATGAGTTGGTTGGTTGGGCCAGGTGTTCCTTTCTAGCGCTGGCGCATGTGGCGGATTATAAACGCAGGCTAAATCTCGGTTCAATCTCGATCTACGGGAAATTATTGTTATGGTAGGTACCTGCTTTGTTCACCTGATAGTGTCTATGGACAATGCCACCGCGGCAGATCGTAAAAACGACGAAAAACACCACTTAGAACCGATAAATAAAAAAATATATATTTTCTGTACACTGTATGTGTTGTGTGAGTCTACGTACATGACTTGACAGTATAATGAGGTAACTCGGTTTTATGTCACCGCATCGTGGGAACACTTGAGACCAAAGCTTCTTCCAGTGCGTTGCCTATTAATGCGTTGTATTGTAAAATTATTATTGGTAATTTTTGTCGTTATACGGGATACCTACAAGCAGAGTTGGACATTATTTAGATATCTCTAACCATTTGTATTATAATTATAATTTTAATTTTAGTTCCAATCAATTCATTATTAATGATTTGTTTACATAAATTACACCTGTATAACATTGGTTAGGTTATTGAATAATAATAGTAGCTATAAACGCGTTTTAGCTATAATAGTTATAATTATTATCAGTAATTGGCAAAATCATGATTAATCATGATAATCGTTTATCAGTAATTGTCTGCGTTATGCTATTAAGATTTAGACACACAAATAATTGTTTTCTAATGTGTTATATTGTATTACACATAAAATTAAATAAATCAAATAAAAATAAATCATTTTTTTTATAGATGTAAATTAATTTTATCGAATAGATGTGTTTTAAAATGCATGTCATCAACTTTTATTGTTATATTAGTTGACAAATTTATTTAATTAGTATTGACAGACAACACAAATGAAAAAACTTCTACAAAAGACATAAATTATTTTAATTATAATGTATAAATCTACATGACGCGTGCAGTTAGACAGAGTGTTGAGTTTAAAATAATACACTCATTAAACAAGAATAATAATCCAGTAGTAGATAGTATTTCCATCATTTTTTCTATACTCTCAATTTAGTTGAGGTGTAGTACGGAGAATAGGTTCTCAATAAATTTAATAATAATAATACAGTTCCATTGTATACGAATTTTTCGTTAAATTATCTTAAATTATAAATGCAATTGCAAACTTGTTCGTTTATGAATACTTTCATAATGTACATACATTTATTAAGGTCTTTAAAAAAAAAAATGGAATAATCATGGTTTCACGATTTGTGATTGTACATATTATAATAAAGCTATCGCGAGAGATTATATTTCAGTAAAAAAATAGAGATAACCTTATGCAGTAGTTTTTTTTCATAGGTAATTGTATATTAAAATTAATAGCCCTACATAAATGTGCGTTTATTTAACAATTTGAACACAACAATTCTTGTTACTAAACGTAGTGATAATATTGTTTTAAATTCTTACCAATTAAGGAATTGGAAATGTGTGTATTAATTCCTCGCTTATTTCAGTGATAAAAATTACACAAGAGAATTATAAAGAGTTTTTTAAAACTTAATTAGATTGCTGTAAGTGTGTATTTTATAAACCAAACACACACAATTTAATTAACACATAGACGAGACAAGAGTTAGAACACTAATAATAACACACTCTGTCTATGTTTAATGGGGCGGTCACGAACATTGTTCATAACATGGCCAAGGAAAGCATGAAAGCATGTGGTACCTTCATAGTGGGAAGTACTCCGAGGCTTATTTTGTAAATATATACATATTGCACACTCATCTAGTCACTTTTTTTCTGGATTTTGGGGATAGCATGGGGCTTTCTTCATTAAAACATTTCATGCGTTAACTATAATTGTATAACCATAGATGGGCAAAACAGCATTTAAATAAGTCTAAATTACGATTGCTTGAGAAATTGAAACTAGTTTCCTACTTTACTCCTGTTACTCCTTTACTGTTAAATCTTAATACTTAATTAACTACAATTAAAAATACTATAACCTTAAGCTATTAGAATTAGTGTAACCTAATTATATAACAACATAAAAATGGTTTTTTACTTCGTATAAAATAATAACTTTATATTTGTTAGTGTTAGAATACTATATCAAAGCAAAACAATAGTGAAACTTCTGAATCCAAAAGCTGTCAATACTAAGTATAAAATTTAAGTCACTAAAAAAAACAATGTTTTGTATTAAATATTTTAGGCGAAAATTAAAGGCAAAAAAGACAATGTTTCGAAAAGCCAAATCTACAAAACATCATAATTTAAAGGGACTTTACCAATGAAAATAATTATGTAAAAGGATAGCTACGGTATATAAAATATGAATTATAAATTATTTAATTAAAATTCATAAATTAATATTATAAACTAAGAACGTAGTTCTCCGTGTCAAAAACTTTTTGGAAATTTAAAATTTGTGTTTAAAATATTCACCTGATAATCATTATTGAAAACTTGAAACAGATCATTTTCATATAGGTATCAGTTAATTTGTAAAAATAGAATGTTTTGTGTCTTGGCAGTCTCTGCATAGGCGACACAAAGCTGAAGAAACTTTTTGTGAGAACATCGTGTTGAAAACCACTATAATGGACTTTGATGATAAACAATAAGTCAGTTTTCAACAAAAATTGTCTTATACATGTTAAATTTCAAAGGCTATTTGATGTGGCTACTGCTATGACTACATTGGACATATTTCTGTAACACTCAACAGACTCTGGAATGTCGAATACTGTGGAATGTTTATTAATAGAATATATTAAGTGTGGTTGGTTGACCATAAGGAATAAGTCTCCGAAAGATCTGATATATGTTTCTGATAAATATATTACTCTATTCGTGGTGTGTGGCTTGAACATCATAAATGCTGTTTATTTTACAACATGGCAAACATGTGTGTATCATTTTTAATTTGTTTTTATATTTCGAGTTTCCTCTTCTCGTCAACCAATTTAATTGTATACTATTTATCTAAGTATAATAAAAGGTAACAATATACGAAAGTAAAATGGCGTAAATGGTTTTTACTTTTTTAGTCAGTATAGACAGGTTGGTTGCGGCTGGAAAGGTATACAAAAATCGAATCAAGTTTAGTTTTCATGGTAACGAGTATTGTGTACAGTAATTTCTACGTATAATATCGGGTGCAAATAAAGTTTAGGCCACAAAGGATTCCGTTTTTAACGCCCTAGAACAGTTTTAGCATTTTAACATTTTTAGAATAACCATCTTATAAATTATGTATACATATTATTTATTTGTCAAAGTGATTTTAAAAACTGTCCATACAGAGGAAAAACCCGATGACACATAATAAATTATTATAAAACTCATATAATAAATCAATACATCTACAATTATTAATATAACCTCATATCGAACAATACAATAAGCATTGTATATAACTAATGTAAAAAGACGATCTTAAATTATTTAGTTCTGAATAGTTCATAAGTCTCAATTAAGTTATAGGTCAAAGGTCTACTTCCTTTTTTACTTTAATAACTTCACAATACCAATTGCATTATAGAACGTCATGTGTAAACGATATTAAATAATTTTATTGTGTATTTTATTATACAGTTGGTTAGTTCTTATTAAGCACTTAAAGTGAGTATCAACAATATCTTCTGAACAATGTATGTGTATCGTTAATGGGCTTCAGGCGCGCCTTCTGTGAAATCATTTCAAAACATTAAAGTTAAAACAAACCGTTTAATGACATCAATATTATTATATTATTATTAAAGTATTATTGTTTTCTACAATATTAATCATGATGCATAATATAGTCAAATATTAAATTATAGCGATGACAATTGGTCAAATACAAATAATAATATTTAATTCTGAAAACTATTTAAGTATGTAAATTCTTTATTAGCATTTAAATAGTTTTATAACTTAAAATGTATATATGTATACATTATTGTAGACTAAAATTGTATTTAGTTGATATACTTACCTATTAAACTATAATGTGTGTTGATGAACATGATATTTAAAGTACACCGAAATCAATTAATCTTTTAACCTCTCCTTGCATTTAAAAAGCAATACAATAAAATACTATCGCATGGAGTCAATGATCTTATTTACCTCAAACTAACTTACACAACATTGTTGTAATTTGGCGTATTTTACCTGTAATTGTTGTTTATGGTACTTGGACACTTAGTATAATAACATAATTTAAGTAACTGTACATTATTGCGCACTCTGTAATTATGCGTGTGAAATTATTCAAATGATTTACAAGTATTGTATTGATATGGTTTTCTTATGAATCGTGATAAGAATATATTTTCAAAGTCCAAATGTATCGTCCGGTTTTTACGTTATGAGTGTAAATCACTTAAAAATGCCAAAATGGTGAATTCTCATCAATATTTAAACTCTATATTTTATAGTTTTAGGTGAAGATGATACAACCATGGGTCCTATGTTCATCAAAGAACCGGAAAATCGAGTGGATTTCTCTAACACTACAGGAGCTACGGTTGAATGTACTGCTAGGGGAAGTCCGAGACCAGAAATTATTTGGATACGAGCTGACGGTACAGCTGTTGGGGACGTACCCGGCTTAAGACAGGTAATGTACATAAAAAAAACGTTATTATTACTTTAAGGTTACGTAAGTCTATAATAAAGTGTGTTAATTTTATAAACATAGAAAGCGCTTCCTAACATGTTCTCTACTATTAATTATTTATTTGTATTGTACGAATTGGCAACTATACAATAACTGTACTGACAACTGTACTGCACTGGAGATTCAGTAGCAATATTATTGGTGGTAAATAAACAAATACATAGTTATAAACATTATTCTCACGGTTTGTGTAGGTAAAAGGGGACGGAAATCTAGTGTTTCCTCCTTTCCGAGCGGAAGATTACAGACAAGACGTTCACGCCCAAGTATACATTTGCATGGCCAAAAATCGCGTGGGAGTAATTCATTCTAGAGATGTAAACGTTAGAGCAGGTATATATTCGATTCAATAAGGTTTAATATATTATGTATTCATATTTTTTATACTAGAACCCCATTCGACTTATTTTTATTACTAAATTAATAAGGTCAGCTACTATTATAATTTTACGTAAATCTATACAACAGTTATTTATAAAACGAATGGAGCTCTAAACTTTTGTTGCACCTCATAAAGCTAATTGATAATAATGTAATATATTTTTTTCTAGAATTTCTTCTTCTATAAATTGTATGAGTAGTATTGAAATGTAACAAAATAGTTTAAAAAGTAAATTAAATAGTATATATAATTAATGATTAGTTACTTATTGGTGAAGTTCGAATAATTATATTATAGCTATTGATTAGATAATAATTTATATGATCTAAACTTAATATAATTTATATTATTGAATAAAAAAAAATTGCTTTAAGAGGTGTAACACAAAGGTGTAATTACCAGCTGGCACTTGGTAGGTTTGTTTTTTTGAATAATTGTTTACACAGCTCATAGTAAACTAGCTTATAGTATATATTGAACCCATGTAATAAAAAAATTACTTTTTTTCTATGATACATTAACCATCCAATTCATGTACAACTTTAAATTTTAGTGAATGATATCATAGAGGTTGGAGTACAGAACAAATAAATCAGAACACTAAGATTCAAAAAATAGCAAATACCTTAATTTTTCAAAATGCCCACAAGAGATTCTTTCTCGCTTTCCGCATCACTTATATTAATAATGTTTTTTTTATTTTATAGCAACGGGAGCAATATACATTTTAGACTGAAAAAAATAAATTGAACCATATTTCTTTTTTGGTTTCCAGGAATTTGGGAACGTTCCAAAAAACACAACCTAGTAATTTTTTATTTTATATTCTTATAAAATAAAAATAAACCTATTATATTAGTTTTTATTATGATAAATTAAGTTAAAATAAAATAAATTTTATCAGCCAAAAACATTTCCCTAATAGTTGAATCGTTAAGTATGAGATTATAAATTAAACTATTACAGTACAAGGTCTTAATTCCTGACAATGTGTGAGTCATAACATACTATATTTCTGTTTATATTTAGTTTTGTAATCAAATTTCAGCCGAGTGCCAGCTCAAAAAAATGTCGAAAATATTGATAATATGTTTAGAAATAGCGTACGAGATTTTTAAATACTGTTGATATCAAATATTTGTTTGCATTATTTATAAGTATTTAAAAATACATTTCATACTATCGTTTACTTAAAAAAAAAACTATAAACTAATTTACAAAATTAAAGTTTAATATCGACGCAGTTCAAAACTGCAACAACTCGTAGAAAATATAAAAAAGTTTCTTATTAGTATTCAGTAGACTTTTGAAATTTAAATGGTTTTGTATAATATATATTTTTTTTAAAACAAGAATAATGCATTTAAACTTTTGATTGGTAAATAGCCAATTTTGAATAATTTTTTTAAAGCTATTAAAGTTTAAAACATTGGATGCAAAAAAGGGTGGACTGTAGTAATTTTTATATGCGGGCATTACTCGCCACACTTCATCTTCAGCTCTACATTTTAAAATTTAATAAACTTTCGAGTAATTATTTAAAACTAGATATCGGCCAGCCAACATTTCCAGTAAATAATTGTAAGTTAAAAAAAAAACAATTAAATATACATGTTACCATTTAAGTCTCAAAAGTTGGTGGAATGCTAAAAAATACAAAAAAGGTAATTATTTAATATTTTTTATAATATTTTAAAATAACAAAAATTACAAAATTATGTGTTATAGTTTATGAGATGTTGCATTTTAGAGCTAGAACGTCGATAGAATCTCGTACGTTACTTAATCAAAGTTTTTATTTACAGTGCTTGGTGTTATCGTTAATGACTTTAATTAACAATAGCGCGGCGTTAGGCAGGTATTTAATTTTTGGCGATTACATTAATTTTTTACCATTTTGCACACTATATTATACTTAGTGGTCGCTCAGAACTACGAAATCGATGTTATTAAAGAGTTTGCCATCAGAGGAAACTCGGCAGTCATGAAATGTCAACTACCTTCGTATGTTTCCGATTTCGTTCAAGTTGTATCTTGGACTGCTGGAGATTCGGAATACGTGTTAGGGTCTGACTTCGGTAGGGCCATAAGTTATAATATATACTTCTACATTTGTGGATCGTACAAGTCTTTCGGAGTAGATGATTTTTTCCCGTGCGATAGTATTGCAATTGTTATTATTCTAGAAACACTGTAATCGCACGACCGGCCGGGATAAGTGTGGTTTTGTTGGCGGATTTCATGTCACAACATTTCGTTTTGATAATGTGTTGATTTTTACGTTTGCACTGTCATTTCTCTTCCAGTCGTCACACAAGCTTACGACTCTGACGTGAATAAAGCCTATGTGATTCGAGGTAACTCGGTGGTAATGAAATGCGAGACCCCGTCTTATGTCGCGGATTTCCTCCACGTGGTTTCTTGGCACACCGATACCGGAGAAACGTTTTACCCAGGCATCGATAACGGTACAATATTGTGATTATCCGGCCGTGTGAATCGATGAAATGATTGCGCAATACGCCTTAAGAGAATTATATAAATTCGAAATGGCTAGTGTGTCTCCTTAACGATATTTTCTTATATTTTACGCCCAACGTTGTGTCCTACAAATAACCGCAGCTGCTATGTCCACATTTTATCGTGTAAATTAACCAATATAATATTATTATAACAATACCGTAGCCGTTGGCCAGTATTACGAAGTGGACGTTAACAAGGAACCGGTGATAAGAGGAAATTCGGTCGTGATGAAGTGTGGTATTCCTTCGTTTGTTGCGGATTTCGTGTCCGTGTTGTCTTGGCACACCGATAAGGGTGAAAACTATTATCCAGGAACGGATTATGGTACATAATTTATATTCCATACAATATCTATGTGATGTGTGCGTCGATAAGTGTACATCTGTCTCATATCCTTTTGCAATGTTGTCCGCAGAATGCAATAATTATTATTAACATTTTGTCATTAATGTAACTACCTACCCCTTGTTGAGTTTTCAATCATATCATCTTCCTACTTTAAACTTATAATAATGATATACAGTGATCGAGGAATCGTACAGGAGTGAAGTGAACAACGAATACGTTATACGCGGTAACTCGGTTGTGCTTAAGTGCAGCATCCCGCCGTTCATCGCGGACTTTGTTACCGTCGTCTCTTGGCAGGACAACCAAGGAAACGTCTATCAACCTTCTGCTGTCGATGAAAAAACGGGCATTATTCCTTTTAATCACGGTACCATGCGTTTCTTAGAGGTTTTTGTTGTGCCAATGACCAAATACCATGTCCACGTGTGTCAGCTACCGTCCTTATTACGTTATCCCTATGTTATTCATAAAAAACCAAAAACATATCCGGTTGTGACTTTGATGGTTAATGTTTTCGCTTTGGGTTTATTAGTTATCGGCGAACCGTACAGGAGCGACGTGAGCCCTGAGTACGCAATACGAGGGAACTCGGTGATATTTAAATGCAGCATTCCGCCTTTTGTGGCAGACTTCGTCAGTGTCGTTTCGTGGGAAGACGATGCTGGTAGTGTTTATCGCGGTGACGATAGATACAAGGTCGACGCTTACGGTACACATGGAGAATATTTATTTCAATATTTATATACTGTAGACATATTTATACAAACCGTCGTGTGCGTGTATGGAATTTTGGACTATCTTTTTACTTGCATCCTTTTGTTTGGCAACGGTAAAAATCATTCAAAGATGTATTATTTGAGATTGTCGTGTTTTTATTCTGCAACTTACAGATGTCACAGGCCAAATATTATAGTGATAGGCATGTCTGTAATATGTTTTTTACTTTGTTCTTTAGTACGAGCAAAAACAAATATTAGTACTTTTGTCAAAAACATTGGAAAATTTTGAATTTCAACCTGTTAACCCAGATTATATAATATACTCGTGTTTGAATTATACCATGGCCAAACTAATTTTCATATTGTTATGGTGTTCATGTACAGTTATACAAGAACAATACAGGAGTGACGTAGGCTTAGAGTACGTCATCAGGGGCAATTCTGTTGTGTTAAAATGCGACATCCCGCCTTTTATTGCGGATTTTGTGTCTGTAGTATCGTGGCAGGACGACGCCGGAAACGTTTACCCTTCCTTGCCTGCCCAGCCCATCGACGGTATTTGCAAATTAGTTCATCACGTGTGTGCATGTGTGTATGAGAGAAGAATGAATGCCTTTCAATTTACAGTACTACATCGTTTTTTACTCTCTCTCAACAGGCTGGGGAATATTTTGTTAGAGTTGTAAAATATCTAAATTCCTATACTGCATCGAGACGTTATTAGTAATAGTAGGTCTACACGCGAACTTTTAATCTCTTAATATTTTCTACCATCTCGGTCGATGCTCGTAAACGCAAAACTCGTCATTCACTATTGTTTGCGGATATTATAATTATTTATTATTTATTTTTACTTTTATGATCAGTTGTCACGCAAAATTACCAAGTAGAGGTAAATAACGAACATGTGATCAGAGGCAACACCGCGGTCTTTAAGTGTAGCATACCTTCGTTCGTAGCCGATTTTGTGTCGGTATTATCGTGGAACGATAATACAGGAAGTGAATATGATTTACATCACGGTAATAATAAAGGTATTTGGGGGGGGGGAGGGGGTAAGTCATAAAATCAACGTTTACTCGTTTATTGTTGCTATCCGATTACATTTTCCAACGTACCCTTAAAGGTGACTTGACAGTATTTGTAATGTTGTGTTATATTTGATCAACTAAAATAGACATTCTACTTTAATTATGTATAATATATTCGTGTTACGTACTAATTAACTGACTTGTCAAAAAGTATTTGAACCCGTTTAATTGTCAAAATAGTCGCACTTAGAACCATAACGTGGGTCGTTATATTTTATTTATTACACAGTGTTATCTTTATTTTTGGGCTAGGCCATTGAAGTACTGAAAACAAATTGTAACATATTATACTTTATACCTACTGTTTTGTTTAAAATTGTATAGGTGCTAATTTTTAATTCAATAAATATTTAGATTTATTATATTGCAATAAATACAAATATTTTGTTTTATTGTTGTAATGTTTATATTTAAATGAAAAATCATGTATTTAATTTTTAAAAAGTTGTCAACCAAGAATACGCTTCGGAAGTTATTACGGAGTATGTGATTCGAGGCAACGCTGCTATATTAAAGTGCACTATTCCTTCGTTTGTGGGTGATTTTGTTGTCGTTCATTCTTGGATATCTTCAGACGGCCAGGAATATTACTATACAGGCGGCGGTTACGGTAGGCCCTGGTTAGCTCTTATCGTGTGCAAAGTCTAAATCCGACTATTCCTTTGAAACCGCATATTATCTGGTTTTTTACATAATTTATTATAGGTGCCTACATCGTTTGTTGTGTTGTGAAATATTTAATTTTAATTTTACTATAATATTATCTTTTGTCAGTTGTAAATCAACATTACGAAACCGAGTTGATGCCTTCGGAATATGTAATTCGGGGCAACTCGGCCGTTTTGAAATGTAACGTGCCGTCCTTTGTAGCGGATTTTATAACGGTCGATGCTTGGGTTTCCAGCAACGGCCAAACCTATACTAGGGATACAGATCAAAGTAAAGACATCCGTCAGCTTCAAGAGAATACTATATTTTGTATACTTGCGATTTCCTTTAAATCCAATACGCAGTTTACAGTAATTATCAAGCTATACTTCCTTGTACTCGAACGAATAAAAAAGCTAATATTATAATGTAAATTATAGTATATAATTGTATGTATTCATTATACACATATTATGGCTTTTTACATGTCCGCATTGCAAAATATATGTTTATAGTCGTGATTCAAAATTATGCTACCGGTGCTGAGGACGAATACGTAATACTGGGTAATACTGCTGTGCTTAAATGCAAAGTCCCTAGTTTTGTGGCGGATTTCGTTTTCGTGGAATCTTGGATTTCTTCCGACGGCCGGGAATATTATTATCACGCTGACAACTATGGTAGGCTTTGGTTGTTTAACTGATTGATGTGCAGCTCTATGCTCTCCGATGATTCCTTGAAGTATCCGCAATTTTCTTTGGATTTTGTCATTTATTTGTTTGTTGTATTATGTTCGGTTTCGGTCAGATTTTCTCACAGAAAACTATTTTAGAAAGATCCGTTTGGATAATATATATATATAAGCTATATTTTATTGATATATATTCGAGTTTCGTAGAATACTAATTTTAGCTAAAGACATCCAAAAATTATAAAATCATAAAAATTGTGTTGAATATTTTACTGGTATTTAGTAGATTTTGTATTTGTATGAAATGTTTAGGTTTTTGCATTTTACATAATATTATAATATGGCAAATTCTATGCGTTAATAGTTGTCCATCAGTCGTACGAGGTTGAAGCTGATAACGAATATGTCATCAAGGGTAATAGTGTTGTTATGAAGTGTGAAGTTCCGAGTTTTGTCAATGATTTTGTTTCGGTCATCCACTGGGAGGACTCTTTAGGAAATACTTATTATCCTAACAAAGATTACGGTATAGCTACACATTAAAAATTGCAAGTGTAGAATTTTTTTGTTTTTAGTTTACAATTTTGACCATCCTATGAATCCTTTTTTCGTGATTATCGGTATTTTTTTTACCGTTAACTGCAGGTTAAAAGCACTTTGGAAAATTAAACGATGACAAGTGTGATTCTTAGACTTAAGCAGTAAAAAATATTATCTAATTGGAGTTTTTTTTGCCATGTAGTCGTAAATCAGTTGTACCAAACTAGAGTTATCGACGAATACGTGCTCCGTGGAAACGCAGCGGTCTTAAAATGTCTTGTCCCAAGTTTTGTGGCGGACTTCGTTCAAATTATAGGATGGGTAGACGAAAACGAAAACGATATCGGATCTACGATTAATAGCTCGGGTATCCTTGATTGTTTTTTTTTCAATAATATGAAAATCGGTTGTATACTTGGACATACCTACACGTGTAGTTGCAAAACTAAATCCTATTATCCAAACTGTCGTTTTCGTTTTGTTTGTATGTAATTTTACTAAAAAGTCGAATACGGGCATTTCTGATCTTTCTGTTAATGTTATTAAATTAATTGACTTGAAAATGTGTATCTAATTCAGTTGTAGAGCAGTCCTACCAGTTGCGTGTGAACGACGAATTCGTGCTAAAGGGAAATACGGCGGTTATGAAATGTATTGTTCCTAGTTTTATGGGCGACTTTCTTGAAATCAAAGAATGGATTTCTGATTCCGGAGATTCCTTCGTGGTCGACCAATTCAATTACGGTTTGTTTCGAGTGAACATTATTAACTGTACACAAAATGATTGTATCGACTGAGATGATGGAGTGATATATTTTCCTTTTCCAATTTGCGATAGCGTTAATGCAGGCGCTTACTTAAAATTTTTTATCGTTCCAGTTATTGGCATTGAGCACTTTTCGATGATTTTTTGGGTTTCAGCCGTTAATCAATACTATGAAAGTCAAGTGTACGACGTGTTTGTAATTAGAGGTAATACGGCGATTTTCAAATGCGCCCTCCCTTCATTCGTGTCTGATTATGTAATTGTGGAATCGTGGGAAGCCACAAATGGGGATAAATATTATACAACCAATGTCGGAGATATCGGTATAGTGTTTTCTTATGATTAAGTGTGCGCATGAGAGAATAATTATATTATGTCGAATGAATACATGATTTTTCCTATCACAGTCGGTAATCCAGTTTGTTTTATTTGCATGCCTACACTGTTCGGCCAATGTTTTATATCATCTACAATATTCAGAGAGTCTTGAACATCATCGCCATCACATCTGCTCCATTTTTTTAAAAATTGTTTTTGATTTTGGCGACAATTAGAAAAAATAATTATTGCTATTATATTTGGGCGTGTCCTACGATATTGTTGTGGTCAATAATTATATTTGGAGGTAATTACACTTTGTATTCAAATTTGACATTTTCAATATTTTATTCTGAAAAAAACAGACTATGTAATCCATTAATGATTTGCTTCTTTAAAAATGTTGATGTTGTTGTTTGTTTTTAGCTGTAAATCAGTACTACGAGGCGATTTTGTACGATATGTTTGTAATCAAAGGCAACACTGCTATTTTTAAATGTATTGTTCCTTCGTTCGTCGGAGATTACGTGTCTGTTGTGTCTTGGGAAGACTCCACCGGAAACAAATACTATATTTCATTAGACAACCAATTCGGCGGTATACAATCTCATATACATAAATCAATATAGAGGTGTATTTTGTGTTCGAGTCTAAATACAAAATATCCTTTTTCATTCCTTCTGACTAAACAATAGTATTTGATATTTCTCATAAAGAACCATTTCGGTTTCGAATGGATTCTATCGTTGTCGTTCTATGAGTCTTGCATTTTTTTTTGTGATCTCCAAATATAAAAATGAGTTATTTCGGTTAAACAGTGGTCCAAATTGTATTGTTTTGTTTATTCAACCAACGTCGTTTCTCTATTTCTAGCCGTTCATCAACTTTACATCGTTAACGTGATGGATGAGTCTGTACTCCGAGGAAATACTGCCATTTTGAAATGTCATGTTCCTAGTTTTGTCGCCGATTATGTATTTGTGTCCGGTTGGTCTTCAGACGATGGCGATGAATATTCAATTGACGCGAACCAAGTATACGGTATCACCAAATTTCAGACTATATTGTTGCCTTTTTCACTGTTGAAACGATTTTCTGATCAACCAAATAGTTCTTTATGAGATTGTCAAACAAGGGTACGTTGCGGTTTTCCTAAATTCTGTCCACACAGTTTTTATCACATTCCACCGAATTCCTTTGGCTCCCGTATAAATGTCTAGAATGAATGGTATAATTAGACAATAATTATTAATGATGGACAATCTGATACTTTACACAATAACGATTCTAATGTTTTAAACCCTTCTTATATACGCATTGTTTTATGTTGTGTAAAATATCAAATATAATTCACCAAATTTATAAAAACTAATCTTTGTACACAAATCAAAGTATACATTGTTATAAAGTATCACATTGTTCATCATTGAATCGCTTTATGCTTTAAAACAATAGCATCTCAATGTGAATTAGTTTTTTTTATAACATTCTATTTACTATATATATAACCTTGAATTTTTTACTTTTAAAATAAACAACAATGCATGCATTAAGTAGTTTATTAAGTTTATTAAGTTTATAATTTATTATTTTAACTTCCTTGTTTATGTATCACATTGGGATTTAGAGATTTCACAAGCTAAGATTTAAAATTATTTATTTTACACTTGTTGAACACTTTTTTGATATTTAAGTTAAAAGTTAATTTTAGTGTAATTAAAAAAAAAGAAAAAAATGTTCGGTCTTTTAAAACAATTGACAAGCTTTTTGTGAAACCTCTATTACATTTTAGTAAATTTTCGCTTGAGCATTCCATATAATATATTTTTGTGTAGAAGATCTAATATATTTTATTTTTTTTTTGTAATTTTTAAAGATGGTAAATATTTGGTATTACCATCTGGTGAACTCCACATACGTGATGTAACGCCCGAAGATGGAAATAAATCTTATCAGTGTCGTACTAAGCATAGATTGACTGGAGAAACAAGACTTAGTGCAACTAAAGGAAGGCTTGTTATTACAGGTTAGTGAATAATAGTATACTTATACATAAAATAAGTATGTTGGCAATAACGATTAATTAAAAATAAACTATTTTTTTAATTTTGTACAAAAGTATAAAACATATTAAATAATTATAATACTTATACTTAAATGTTAATTTAGTTATAAATTTATTTTATTAAAAATTTATATTAATTTTCTACATTGCCAGTATACTTAGTTGATCATACAGATAACGGCTGAATTATATTTTATTCTTTAATTTTAATTGCATTATAATTATTAATTTTAAATAAATATAAACTCTAACAACGAAGACTATTCATATAGTAAAAACTACTACTTAATTTTCTTATTGAGCTTGTCGTCTTAATAGTTTATAAAATATAATTTTGCCCTATTAGTGTGTACATCAGTGATGCATTTATATTTTTATAAAAATTATTTAAAAAGTTGCATAGCAGTTATTTGACATGCGAAACGTTATTTTTATATTTTATAAATGCATCATTGAATTGAATTTATATACATATTTAATAATTTTAAATAACCGAACACAAATTTTAAAAATTTAGTTAGTGTTAGTGCTTTATATTATAATCATGATAACTATATTTCATTATATTTCTATTCGAAGTTGACTAATACTTTTCCAGAAGTATTCAGTACTAGCACCCACCTTTAGATATACTGTATTTTTATGTGTGAGAAAAATTAATTTAAGATACTACATTTTTAAAATTTGAGTTCGGATATGAAGCCTGAATGTTGGGATAGGGTACCCCTGCGACACATTAAAGCACAAGTCAGTCGTGCCAACTTTCTTAAAAAAAATAATGCATATTTTACATTTTATTCATAATGTTACCTAGACAAATTTTGTTTAATCATATCTTAGACCCCGTGGGTAGTTCCTCTCCGAAATTCGCTTCTTTGGAGACCGGTAAAAGTTACCAGTTCAGATCTGGACAAAGTATGGTTTTAACTTGTTCCGCTCAAAGCCATCCAGTACCCACTTACAGGTAAGGGCTAAAAGTTGAAACTCAGTACACATATTGTTTTTATCGAACGAATTTTTTAAATATTACATATCACAGAACTCGAATATTTTTTTTTAATTTTGGCTGCATAGTATTTAGGATAAATAGAATAGGATAGGGTTAATAGTATATGTCTTCATCAATAGCGTGACATAGTTGTGTTATTTTAGATCCAATTACTAGTATAACGCCAAAATTCTCGTCAACAACAAACATTCAAGGATTTACGACCCATTTATCTAGATCATTTGATATACTCTGTCCAGCACAAGGGTACCCTGTACCAGTATCAAGGTGGGTAGGTGTATTTAAATTTAATAAAGCATACATTTTTTGAAAACACTAGAACCAGTAAGTGCAACGGTGCCTAAATTTCCAATGATGGCAGAATCATTTAAATCAAGAGTGTCAGCAAATTTAGATATGTTATGTCCAGCTCAAGGCTATCCTATTCCAACACATAGGTATTTTCATTATTTACACATTTCCTAAATATTAAGGTCAATTTTTTTTAGTACCAACCTTGAGCTTTGATATAAAATTGACAGAGTGTAGATTCCCAAACAAAAAAGTATCTATAACAAACAAAATGTATAAAATAATAAACTGTTGTATTGGATGTAGAGCCCATTGGTCTTAAAGCTCCAAGTTTTTCAACGGAAGCTAAATCTACTTCTTATGTGAAAAAAACGGGACAGAGCATCAACCTGTTGTGTTTAGCTCAGGGATACAGTGTGCCAACATTCAGGTGATCTTTTTGTATAATTGCATTTTTTTTGTATTTTCCGGGATTTAGAACCCATTGGATTGAAATCTCCCACATTCCCATCTTCATCAAAGTCTAGTTGGTTTGTTAAAAACCTATATGAGAACTTATCTTTACTCTGTTCAGCACAAGGGTACCCTGTTCCTGAATACAGGTAACATATTTCTTAAAGGTTTAGCGGAATACAAGTATAGTTAAATAATTAGTCATAATTTGGTAGACAAATTTGTTCACTTAAGACGTTTAATTATAATAAACCCGTATGCTTTGAATTCTATGGTAAAATGATTTTCTTACAGAACCGTTTAGCTTAAAAGCTCCGACATTTCCATCTGATGATGAAGTGTCTAGATTCAGAAAGCGAAGTACTCATAGTTTTAGTTTACTTTGTGAGGGTCAAGGATATCCCGTCCCTTCATTCAGGTACGATGAGCTACTCATAGTAACACATATTTCATTTTTTTTTTTGTAGAACCGGTAGGACTAAAATCTCCAGTCTTTTCGACTGAATCAGAAAGTTCTAGATATAAAAAACGGTCGGGTACGAGTTTGTCTTTGTTGTGTATGGCGCAAGGGTTTCCTGTCCCAGGTTTCAGGTGAGAATATTCCACAATGCTCATAGTTTTATTTTTATTTCTTTAAAAAAAGGGGGTGTCCGTGTTCTAATGTTCGGGCTAATTGAAAGTGTAAAATAATCATGTTAAAACTTAAAAATTTATTTAAAAATATAGATCCTGTTGGAATAAAGTCTCCTACTTTTTCATCTGATTTTAAAGGAACTATTTTTAATCGTCGGTCAAATACTGATATTGTATTATTGTGTCAATCACAAGGATACCCCGTACCAGAGCACAGGTGAGACTATGGTTCTCTTTTTTTCTAAAATTCCATTTTCGTTTTTGTAAAAAACTAGACACCAATTAATTGAAAATAATAAGAAAAGTAAAGTCGCAAGGGTAGAAAATTCTCAGACATTTATGCTTTTTGAACGTGTCTTTAAACATTGTTTTTATTTACTTTTTCGTAACTTTTAGAACCTGTTGGATCTAAGGCACCGACTTTATCATCAGATTTTTCTAGTACAGGATTAAAAAAACGGGCAAACACTCCAATTGTCTTGTTATGCCAGTCACAGGGATATCCCGTACCTGAATTTAGGTGAGGAGTCTTAAACATCATCTTATAAATAAAACATATTCGATTTTCTTAAAAAGCGGTAATGTAATATGAACCTACAAGAATATTACACGGTTGTCCTGATTCCAACATTCAGTTATTAGTTTTGTTAGACAATTATGACTTGATATTCATTGGGGTTTTAATGGAATCGTATCAAATAATTTGTATTCAGACCCGGTCGGACTGAAGGCACCTTCACTGTCGTCAGACTTCGAAGGAACTCGCGTGAGGAAAAGTTCTAAAAACGATATTGTTTTATTGTGTCAGTCTCAGGGATACCCTATTCCAGAATTCAGGTGAGATTCTTTTTTAAACTTGCCAATGTTACTTTTAGAACCCGTGGGTTTAAAATCGCCTACATTTGCTGCGAAATCAGAAACATACAGGTTTCGAATGAAATCGTCCGCTGACTTGAACCTGCAATGTGAAGCGCAAGGATACCCTATCCCGACTTTCAGGTTAGGAGTCTAGCTGAATACCTAATATTTTTTTCTATAGATCCATTCGGTGCCAAAGCACCCTCGTTGTCGTCCGAGAACAAACACACCTGGATAGAAAAACGAAGTAGACAAGATATTAGTCTTCTATGTTTAGCGCAAGGTTACCCAGTGCCTCTGTCGAGGTGAGCCGCACAATAAATAAATGGGGCTTAATAACTTTATTTGAGATTGAGATTTAGCATTGTGGAATAGACTACGAGTATAATAATAATAATGTCTCAAGTGACACTTATTAAGTTAAATATTTCGAATTTAGATACGGTAGGCGTTAAAGCACCCACTGCGCCGGACGACAAAAGTCGAACCATCGTGCGACATTCTGAACAATATGTAACACTATTTTGTATAACCCAAGCATATCCTGTACCAACTTTCAGGTTCGTACTTCATAAGAAAAGAATTCGGTATAAAATAGTATTTTTTTTTAATGATGGTTCGTTATTGGTTTTTTTATACACTTGACATAATTGCTGACTGACCAACTAGATACCGTATACGAGTCACTTATATCGCAATCCGACTCCAAAAAATATATGCTTAAAATAAAGAAATGAAGCATCTAGTAATTGTTTACTATTGAATTTATACGCTAAGTGACTTATAAAAAGTTCCCAACATACAGGTTATTAAAAAAAAAAAACAATTAAAACAAATAAAAAAAAACCCAAAAAAATGTAATTTGTTCACAGAACCTGTTGGCGTCAAAAAGCCCACGTTTGCTAGTGACGATAAAATTCATTCATTCGAAAGAAAACACAATTCTGAAATAGCTCTTTTATGCGAAGTCCAAGCAAATCCAGTAGCTACAATAGGGTATGAATGGGTTTTCTATAATTTAAACTGAGATTTCCATTTATTTTTAAAATTATTTTCTCAAAATTACCTTTGTTAATTTAGTAATATATATATATATATATATATATTCTGGGAAGGAAATGGTTTTAGGCTTGCTGTACTAACTGTACTAGTATAAATAAATAAAATCCTAAAGAATAGATTATTCAATATTAACCTAAGTACACCTGTCAAACAAAGGATATCTCAGACACAAAAAAACTGGTCGACACTTAAATGGCTAAATATAGAGGGTGCATGTATGATATTTAGAAAAGATGATCCGTACTATCCCAACATTTCAGCTCATATATATTAATAATTGACAAAATGTCTATAATTTATCATTTTGCTTTTACGTTAGCTGTGGTTTTACGTTTTGTTTAACTTTTATCGCAGAACCCATAGGGATGAAATCTCCTAGTTTTTCTACGGATACCAAAATTTCAGCTTATGTAAGATCTCAGAATGCTAATATTAGTCTGCAATGTCAAGCTCAAGGATACCCTATTCCTAATTTTCGGTAAATATGTGTAATGGTTTTTTTTTCAAATTTGATAAATAAATAACTTTTACGCAAACAGAACAAAAAAATATTATTCCACAACTGAAAACGATATCACACATGTTTCACAATCTATTAAATGTAATAAAAATGTTTAAAGTTTTGAGATTCAACTAATTATGATTTTCTTGATTATTATTACGTCTTGGTTAAATCTCTTGTAAAGTACATTACATTATTATAAACCATATAATATGGTTTTGTTGAACAGATCCAATAGGAACAGTTGTACCTAAAGTACCAGTGAAATCAAAGTTTGATCACGTTGACGGGGCTTATGGACAAAATGTCGAATTAGTTTGCGAAACTCAAGGTCATCCAGTACCTGTTTTCAGGTAGTTTGAATAAACCTTAAGAAGCATAATAATAAATACTAACAATTTCCTCTAAACAACTATCTAAACACTTAAAACAACGATTTGGGCTTCATTAGTTAAATTGACTTAAAAAAAAAATAAAGAATATATCATTTTGAACATCACTAATTATAATTAATGTTGTTAGATCCACAAACAAGTATTCTACCAAAAATTAAAAAAGAAGAACTGGCTGTTTTGGTCGGAAAACCATTTGCCATTGAATCTCATGTATCCATGATTTGTTCTGCACAGGGGTTTCCCATTCCTTATTTCCGGTACGTTTGATAAACATGATTTTCGAACAATTATTTAAAAGTGGACTTGCTTGTAAACGTATATCCAGATTGACCCAGGTCCAAAATTGCGGTTTAGTCATAACAAAACATTTTAATAAAAACATTAGTACTCTATAACTGTAATCGGATATAAAATGCATATCACTTTTAAACGAGTAGGAAAGTTAAAAAAATAACTGTTGCTAGGAAAAACGATTTATGTGCTTAATGTCATTAGTAAAGGGTTCTCTATTTCTTATTCAGTTCTGTATGTAAAACAGTTATTGAAATAACAAAAACAATTAATTACAGAACCGCACTCGAATATTGCCGGTAAAGTGTCTAAAGAACGGTTCGAAGGAAATAACTTTCTTTTAAATGAACCAGCGGTACTTTTGTGCCCAGGTCAAGGTTTCCCCATACCGAAATATCAGTAAGTTTAACTCAAATATTGATGACTACACAAGATTAGTCTGTATACTTATCTAAGGCATAATAGTCAGTTTTGGATTTTTAGTATTACACATAATCGGTAATAGGCATTATTGGTCAAATGACGATTAAGGATTTTCATTATTATGAGCTATTTTGGAAGCTATTTTGAATGATAAAATTTAAAATATCGTTATATATTATTAGTTGATAAATTGCCATATTTTATTCAACATTGTTTATTTCTTTATTTTTTTTTATATTTTTAAGTATAATTTTATCTTAAAAGGTATTATGCAAAACACTCGTTTATCCTTTTCCAAAATACTAAAATACAATCGCATCTCCAACTATAAATTACCAATCTATTGATCAAATACAAATTTACTTTAATTGAGATGTTAGGTAAGAAAAAACCCTTATAGACTTTCATAAATACATATAACAAATAATTTGTTTTTGCTATTGTATTGTCGTAACACAAATTCGACTCGATTATATTTACATATTTTTTCAAAGTGTTTTTTTAAGCCTAATGATGTAAATTATAATTTTGTAAAACATACCTCGTTTTTCTTTGTTCATATCCCTTGTGTATTTGATCTCATTATTAACTCACTTGCACATGAATTAATGCAAATCAACTGTCTGTGACGAGTTTTTTCCATGGCCTTTTGTTATTTTATATATTATTTAAAAGAAGCGTGACTCGGAAACATTTATTTTACATATTTACCTTCAATATATTTTCATGTACAATACAATTGTAAAGCATAACTATTATAGCAACCAAAATAGTAGTGCAATTGAAATATGAACTTTTGTTCTAGTAAAGAGTCACACTTCTGAAGTATTTAAATAACCATATGCGCAATTTTACAATAATGCAATGTATGAACAGGTGGTACAAGTTTCTGGAAGGTTCTAGTAAGAAACAAGCTGTAACTTTGAACGATAGAATCAAACAGGTTTCTGGCACATTGATAATACGCGAGGCAAAGGTCGAAGATTCTGGTAAATATTTATGTGTTGTCAACAACTCTGTGGGCGGAGAAAGTGTAGAAACAGTTTTGACTGTAACTGGTAAGTTAATGACGTTTTAATAAACATAAATCAAGTTTTTTATCAATGCATTTTTGTTTCTTAGCTCCATTAAACGCCATCGTCGAACCGACCATTCAAACTGTGGACTTTGGAAGACCCGCCGCCTTGACTTGTAACTACGAAGGAAACCCAGTAAAGACTATATCATGGCTTAAGGATGGTAAAAAATTGAGTTCCCACGACGGAAGAGTGTTGCGTATTGACTCCGTTCGCAAAGAAGACAAAGGAATGTATCAATGTTTTGTAAGGAACGAGCAAGAGAGTGCCCAAGGCAGTGCTGAACTCAAGTTAGGAGGACGATGTAAGTGTAGCTAACCATTGTTGATACGGGTTTGTTTAATTGTTTTTTCTTCCGTTTTGTTTAGTCGAACCGCCACACATTAAGGAATACTTTAGCGATAACACCATGCAACCTGGAGTGTCTTTGCACTTGAAATGTATCGCATCTGGTAATCCAACACCTGAAATAAATTGGGAACTTGATTCAAAACGTCTTAGCAGCACTGAAAGGTATATTGAATGATTAAGAATTTCCTAAGCTTTAAACAAGAATTATAAATATATTTAAAAGTTTTGAAAAACCGTTTTGGTTCGAATATATAAATTGGTTTCAAAAATCATGAACTCAGATAAAATAGGTATAAGTAAAAATATTTGCTCACTGTCTAACGATTTTTTATTAAAAATTATTTTCTGATTTTCACATTTATTTCACTAGGCATTTCCAGTTGTATAGCCACCCTTAACTTATAATGCTAACTATTTACAGCTTTTTCCGTTAACTATGTGATTTTCAGACTTCGGATTGGACAACATATTACCATGGCAGGCGAAGTGGTCTCTTATCTTAATATATCTTCAGTTCACACCAATGATGGAGGTCATTATAAATGTGTAGCTGTTTCTAAAGTCGGTGCGGCTGAACACACTGCCCATATCAACGTGTACGGTCTTCCGTTTATTCGACCAATGGAAAAAAAAAATATCGTGTCTGGAGAAAATCTATTCGTTACGTGCCCTGTTGCTGGATATCCACTTGAATCGATCACATGGGAAAGAGGTGTGATATGATCAATCAGTCAAAATTAATACTATTTTCTTTTATGTACAACAATGTATCTTTTGCTCTATAGAAAATCGTCAACTTCCTATCAACCGCAAACAAAAGGTGTTCCCGAACGGTACGTTAATCATTGAAAACGTAGAACGGTCTTCGGATCAAGCTACTTATACTTGTGTGGCGAAGAACTCTCAAGGTCATACCGCTAAAGGAAACTTAGAAGTTCAAGTGATGGGTAAGTTACACGTTTTTAATACAATAAATAGTCATGAATATTGTAACACCGTTCAGTATAATATTATCATTTCGTTAAATATCAGTACATTTTTCTGTGCTAACACAATTCTAAAAAAATTCATTTTAATATTATACTGAACGACAACAAACTTAATAAACATTTTACGGGGCAAATTATTAGGAGATCAGCAAAACACATTTATTTGCTAAATTATTATGTACACTTATTGTTTCGTACGATAAGGAGTTTATGCCGGGGTGCACGAACTTCATTATGATCTTTTGGTTATCCGTAATTGGGTCATCAAAATTTATCAAGTTTCCTGTGCAATCCGGTATAATTATGTACAATAATGATAATTATTTTTAATTTTGTACATTTAAATATATTAATAGATTACAAAGAGAACGAGAATAATAATATCTATTTACCAAAAGGATCTTGGATCGTATTTGGTTTTGTTATTTTATGTAATCTATTAGTATATTATTATACTGTTATAATAGGGTGTATCAACTACCAACAAATTGACTTTAAATTTGTAGAAAACATGTTGGGGTACACCCTGTGTATTTAATATCATACTTGTGTTAAGTTACGAATTAGATTTAGGTTTGCCTAAGAAAAGTAAGTTGTAACATGAATGAGACGTTTATAAAATATTCATAATCATAAAGTGTTTAAAAAACTCCGAAATAAAAATGTTCCGAAAATCCGATATTGTAACAAACAAAACATATTGTATTCGATACGTTTTAGTTCCTCCTGTTATATTACCATTTTCGTTTGACGGCGAAACTAACGCTGGCGATAACGCTCAGCTGACTTGTCACGTAAACAAAGGAGACATGCCCCTCGAGTTGTCTTGGACTTTCCGAGACTCTGACAACCGCACGGCTCCTCTGCCAGAAGTGACCACCGTAAATCGGATAGGAAAGAAAATCGCCGTGCTTGAAATACCCATAGTGACACAGTTCCACCGCGGAACTTACATTTGCACTGCCAGCAATCGCGCAAATAAAGTTTCCCAGTCTGCTGTTTTGTACGTCAACGGTAAACACACATAACACTGAAGACGAATATTTCAAACACACACATTATGGCATGTTCGCTTAGGTTAACTTACGCAGACAAAATTTAGAACTATATATTATTATATTTTATTCACAACGTGTTTGTTTCCTCTTGTGCAATCATAATTTTATCTATTATATCCTCTTCGATGATAACAAAAAAAATAGCAGTATAAATTCGATTTTTATCAGTACCTCCGTCGATGAAACCATTTTCGTTCGAGGGCGAATCGAACGTCGGCGAAACAGCACAATTAACTTGCCACGTTATTAAGGGTGACACTCCGTTAGAAATTTCATGGGTGTTCCAAAACTTCGACGGTGGCATTCAACCACTACCGCAACCGATAACGGAAAATCGAATTGGCAAAAAGATAACCATGTTAGAGATACCGGTCGTGACACAATATCACCGAGGAAGCTACTCGTGTGTAGCCAAAAATAGAGCTGGGATTGTCAATCAAACGGCCATTTTGATGGTTAACGGTACATTAAAACCTAATAATATGATATGTGTTGAGAAATATCAACGTTAACGAGCATTATATCATAGAACTAGCACAATAAGCTACGCACAAAGCTACCTATCAACGCATCCACTGATTCCATTTAATCAACCAACACACTCCGTTTTTTTTTATGAACTGAACTATTTTATTATAATGTTTACCGCATGTTGCTCTTGCATTTTTAGTACCCCCCTCGATTATGCCGTTTTCGGTGGACGGTGAATTCAGCGTTGGCGATAACGCTCAGTTGACATGCCACGTAGCAAGAGGAGATATGCCCATTAATATTTCTTGGACATTTCGAAATGCCGACGGTCAAATGTCGAAGTCGTTACCTGAGCCTGTGTTGTTAAACAGAATAGGAAAAAAAATTGTTATGCTAGAAATACCTACTGTCACCGAATACCATAGAGGCTCGTATACGTGCGTGGCAACCAACCGAGCTGGTGTTGTCGAGTACACTGCGTCGTTAATGGTTAATGGTAATGGATACGTTGTTTATACACGCTCAATATTTGCGTAGCTTTTAGAAAATATACTCTGCACAACAGAAAGGCAAAGCTCTAATAGTCTTCAATCCATGTTCACTAATATCCTTACAGAAACCAATCGGTTGGATTTTTGTACATTTCCTTGGTTTAACAGTAGAACACAATAGAATCGTCTAAATTAATAAATAGGTACGTTTAACGTTTATTTCAAACATAAAAATAGCACAGATTAAATAAACCAGGTAGTGCACTTCATAGTAAAACAATAGATTTTCAACTAACGATTTTTGATTGGTTTAAACTTATAATATATTGTAAATAGCGTATACAATATTAACAATAACGACGTAAACTGATAAGAATCACTGATAACAAGTAGTTGATTAACCAAGGTTGATGGCGATGACATTACATATGCTTGATAACATTTCTTTGACCAAACTGTAGAACAAAAGGATTTTTTTTTTGTCATTTTTTGGTCACACTGATCTGAGTTTATTAAAGTTTGCTTACATTTTTCAATTTTTTTAGAGTGCACTATCTGGTTTTATTTAATCTGTGGTAGTATTTGGAGAGTTTATTTTGTTGTTATGAGGTGTTCTTTACACGATTGCATAATTTAATTTTTGTAATTTTTGTACAAATTACATTACCGATAACTACATATGTTTTAAACGTCAAATTGCCATGAGTTATCTCGCAGTATTAAGACAATATGTTTAATTAGACCACTGTGTGACTGTCTAATTGCCTACAAATTAATTTGATTTTTTAGTCAGATGTATTCCAAAATATTCATTGAGAAATCCTGTTAGTTGATCCTATTTTATTTTTTTACAATCATCATGAAATATTTCAATTAGCTTAATTTTAGTTCTAGGTTTAAACTCTTGATAAAAACTATTTTATTTATAATCAATTTCTATATGGCCGTGCGGATTGAAATTGTCGGGCGACTTTATTAGACTTCTTTAATTCATTTTCAAAAAAAACTTGATAAGCACATAAATTATATTAACAAATAAGGCAGATGTTTTATAGTTACTTACAATACAATAAGTAAGACGAACTAGTATAATGAGACATTTTCAAGTTATCTAAATTATTGAAAAGTACTTCATTTCCCTCTTTGAGTTCGAATGACCACGCTGTGTTAACTGAATACCCCAAGCCTTCGTTTATATTAAAATATGTATGTTATTGTGGTTTCTTCTCTATGTGCCACTCCCTATATAAGTACTTGGTTTTCTGTGTAGTGTCATACGGAACGTGTTATGAACCTCTTTAACTTGGACGTTTACTTTGATACTCATTTGACTAGGCCCAATCCCGCCTAACCTTTATGGCTTAACCTTTATTATATACATTTAAAATTAATCATAATAACTATTAGATCCAACATTTATTTTTTAGCAATACTACCTGCGCCGACTTGTTAAGATTTCAGTCCTTGTCACTGCTAACAAGCTACTTGTTTACAGAATTTATGTCTAAAGTGATTTTTTTTTAAAATTATTGAGCTCGTTTATTTTTCATGAAATATCTTTGGTTTAATTATGCCACATAATTAACCCATAATTAATGGACAATGTTAATTGAATATCAAAAATGAATGATTGTCAATAGTTTTAATAATTTATGTTGTTAACAATATTATTTACAGTACCTCCACGTATCAGACCTTTTGAGTTTGAGTCTTCAATTTTTGCTGGTGAACCAGTTCAGCTAACATGTTTTATCACTAAAGGCGATAGACCATTACGTATATCCTGGTATTTCCATGGCAAAGAGTTGACTTCTCAAACTGGGATAACCACTAGTGCGATGGGAGAAAGAGCTAGTAGTTTATCTATAGCTTCTACTGGTCTTTCTAACAGTGGAAATTACACATGTGTTGCCCAAAATTCTGCGGGATTAGATTCTCATTCTGCGTACTTAGAAGTTAATGGTACATGCGCATTAAGACAACATTTGTAACAATTATTATTAAATTTAAACGGAAGAAGCTTAAATAATAAAGCTTTTATATCGTTAAACCACTTTTCAATACTTTTGAAAGTATAAATTTATATTTTTTCCTTGTAGCTAGTGCTTTAAACATATATATAAATATCCTTTTTATTTATTTACTCCTGATTAATGTTTATTTATTGAACGCATGAGTGCAATTATCTATATCTTTTATTACCAAAGAACTTTTTTTTAAATTTACCCATTAATTTTGAATCGTTATTAATATTTTATTCGTTGATATCAGTTTAATCCACATACATTTTATTAAGATTGAACTGAAAAAGTCAGTTATCAAAATAACCTTAAGAGTAAACAATTTATCAATGTATTTTACTAATATGTCCTTCTCCTGTACATTTAAGTCAGTTTGAAAATTTTAGTTCGTATTCTGAATGTACTACCCATTGTCAGTGGTCTACAAGATTATACAAATTATGTGTTGAACATCTTCATAAGAAAAAATAATATACCTAATTCTGAAAATTCACTTGACTTTGTGTGTATATTTAAAGAATTCAATTTTTTATATTTCTGAATAATGGTAGTCATTGAGCGCTTTTAGGCTTTAACCAATGATCAATTGGAATGGAAATAAAGGTATCACACATTTTTAGCTAAACTGAATTTATTTATTTACTAAAAAGTATAACTATATGTGTATTATGATATACTATCTAAATTATATTTACAAACTATAGATATAAGAGAAACTATTTCTGCGTTGAAACTAAATTTCATAAGATTTTTAAAAGCGATAGCATAACCGAGCGGGAAAAGATTATAGGGTTGTCACGCACGGTCGATGGCTCGACAGATTTTATTTTATTGTTATTTATTAGAAAAATAAGTAGTGACCCCATCCTTAAGCTTTAGGTTGACACTTAGTTTATCCAAACTCATATATTTCAACA